TCTAGGATGGCATTTAAGGTAGTCATCAATCTCATTATTGGAGAAGGACATTTAAGGTAGCCTCTTAACTACTGCTTAGATTGTTAGTTGGTGTCATCCTTGTAGATCTCTGGACATTTCCCTAGTGCCAGAATTCCCTTTAAAACTATAATGACTCCCACTATTAGGGAATCTCTTTTCTTGCTCTTTTCTATTCTTCACCTGACTAAATCTTCCTGCTCCCTCATGTCCTTCTCTCCCCTCCTGTTCTCCCCTTCTCTTTCTTCTAGCTTCCTCTCCCCTCCCCCCATGCTCTCAATTTGCTCAGGAGATCTTGTCCCTTTCCCCTTCTCTGGGGAATCATGTATGTCTCTCTTAGGGTCCTCCTTTTTTCCTAGCTTCTCTGGCAGTGTGGACTGTAAGCCGGTAATCCTTTACTCTATGCCTAAAATCCACATGTGAGTGAGTACATACCATGTTTGTCTTTTTGTGACTGGGTTACCTCACTCAGGATGGTTTATTCTAGTTCCATCCATTTTCCTGCAGAATTCCATTTTTAAATCATGGATTTTTATTTGGCATTTCCATCAGCCTTGTGTTTATATTTTCTTGGGTATGACTCAAGTATGTAATCTCTTTAAGTTCATGAAACTATTTCTTTAAACTCCATGAATTCTTTGATGAAGTTTATGATTGTTCCTTTAAATTCTGACTATAGGGTTTTATCTAGGTAATTCTCATTTATTTCTTCAGGGGAAGAAATACTGCCTTTATCTTTCATGTTGTCTGTATTTTTATACATTTAGACATTTTTATTTGTTCTGTGTCTGATATGGGCAAAGCAGGTTGCATCATATCTACTCCCCAAACTCCACTTGGATCAGAATGCATATCCTGCATGCCATCCCAAGCCCCTCTGTCTATCTAACTTCATTCCACCTAAGCTATATCCAATATTAGGCTCAACCCTGACTGTATATCCTGAGCAGATATGAGGGTTGAGGAGGGTGCATGAATAGGATAATCCAATGGACTCACTCAACTAGAGTCTGGCACAAAAAATTTTAAGGACCTGGCCAGACAGAGAAGTTGGACGTGGTGCATGAGACACCTGTAGGTTGGAGATGGCTAGGGTAGATCTTAGTTCAAGTCTGGAGTCTGTGGACCACATCAGCAAGATGCCTGGCTAGGCTGGGTCACTGGGCTCTATCTGTGGGTTGGTGAGAGTGGGGGGAGAGGGGATTAGTCAGAGTCATCCAGCTAGAACCTGGCAAGAGATGTGCAGGGTCTGGTTAGACAAAGAGGTTGGATATGATGTGTGAAGGGCTTGACAGTCAGGGTGCAAAATTCTTATAACTGCGCAGATGAGTTTTCATCAAAGTGGAGAGTTTCTAAAAGTTTCAGAAATAAGGAAGAACTGAGCCAAGAAGCAGAAGTGAGAAGTTTCTGTTATAAAGACTCAAAATGAATTTTCTACCACTGATGTAGAAAAGACTTTGATACAGTTAAGTCAAGAGGTCAGAATTGAGTTCTCCACACAGAAGTAGATTTTTCTAAGAGATATGATTATGACTAGAAAGGTCCAGAAAAATTTGCAAAGGGAGGGAAGAATATTTATGTTGCCATAAATGATGTTGATGAGGAATATTAATCAATCAAAAAGTCTGTTCTTCAGCAAATCCTACCAGCATGTGCCACCACAGCTGGCATCAACAATGGTGATCTCTTAAAAAGCAGTACTACAACACAATAGTGAGGATACTAGTGTTGACACAATCATGAAACCACAGACAATTCATTTCACTTATTAGAAAAATCCCCTACATTATTCTTTCATAGTCATTCCCACAGTCCTCCTGTCTTTTAAATTCCCAACAACCACTACTAATATAGCATACATTTCTATAATTTCATCGTTTCAATATTATTTAAATGTAATAATATAATATGTAATCTTTCTGGATTGACTTTTGATTCAAAACAGTGCTCTGGAGATTCACCCAGGATGTTGAGTGAGGCGATACTTCTGTTCCTTTTCATTGTTGAGTAAAAACATCATATAGTATGATTTCATTAGGTCATCTGACTGGCCTCCAGCTATTGATCACTTCCAATAAAGCTCTGACAATACTCACGTACAACTTTGTGTGGGATATACCATCTTTTCTATGGGCTTCAGTTGTTGGCCAATATAATAGTGTCATTTTTAGTTTCTTCAGTGACTACCAAAATGTTTTCTGAGTATCAGTACCATTTTACACTCCCACTAATAATATAGTGATATTTTTCCACATCTTACCAGCTTTGTGTGTGTATCACCATGGTCTTTATTTTTTTAGGCATGATGATAGCTGTATGGTGGCATCTCATTATTTAAGTCATGGGTTTTGTTGAGTCCCCCAAATGCTAATGATAGTGATAGAAATGGCTGGTGCACGGCACATATTCTTCAATGAAATATCTCTTTACGTTTTATCCATGTTGTGGATAGATTTTGTGTGTTTTTGCTGTTGTGCTTTGAGAGTTCTTTGTCTATTCTGGAGTCTAGTACTTTGTCAAACATGGGGTTTGGAAGTTATTTTCTCCCATTCTACAGCTTGTGTCATCATCTTACTTGATGAAAAGGCAACTATTTTAAATTTTGATGCAGTTTTAAGGATCTTGTTTTGGTGTCAAATAAGATCTAGGACCTCTTTGCTTAGTCCTAGATCTTAAGCATTTTTCAAGTTATTTTACTTATAATTTTGTTCCATAAAATAATCTATGATTACCATACTTTTCAGTTTTGAAGGAGTGAGTTTATCATGTACATAACTAACCAAAGTAAAAAAAAAATAGCAAGAGAGATGGAGAGAATACAAAATATCAAATCAGGCCCTCAAAATGTGCTTTAGAAATAGACCGGGGAAACCTCTTTAAGGCAATCAGCTACTGTTTCCTGATAGCAAGAGTTCCAGATAGAGTGTCTCCTGGTATGCCTTTCATGTAAAAGAATAAATTACAGTAAGATGGCGGTCACAGGACTTGCAGACACCTACCAGGAGTCAAATTTTGCACTTTTGTTTTAGATAAATTGAGAATATTTACATGAAGGTCTATTTCTGGGCTTGATGTTCTGTTCCATTTACCCATGTGTCAATCTTTTTTACACCATCTGCCCTTTAGTATTAAAGTGGTATAATATACCTTAAAATTAGGTAGACTGACCCATGTCATTTAACTCTTTTATTTTTCAATTCTTTAAGATTTAATTATTTTATTTTATGTGTATTCATGTTTGCCTGCATTGTGTATGTGTACCATGTGTGTGTCTTGTTCCCACAGAGGTCAGAGGAAGGCATTAGGTTTCCTAGAACAGGAGTTACAGGTGGTTTGTGAGCCACCATGTGGGTGCTGGGAACCAAACCCAGGTCTTCAGCGGGAGACAAGTGCTCTTAACCACTGAGCCATCTCTTCAATTCTATTAAGATTGATTTTTTGGTGGGGAGAGGAGGTTTAAGACAGGGTTTCTGTGTGTAACTCGTCTGTCTGTCCTGGAACTCACTTTGTAGACCAACTGGCCTCAAACTCATAGAGACCTGCCTGCCTCTGCCTCTCAAGTGCTGAGATTAAAGGTATTTGACACCACTGCCCAGCTCAAGATTGATTTTGGAGTTTGACATCACCACCCAGGTCAAGATTTTTTGTGGTTTGACATTTCCTTCATTGTCCATATAACCTTTAGAACCCTCTTATCTACTCCTAACTTGGTATCTTGATAAGTCTTTCCATCTATGAACATGGTCCCTTTCTCCTGTTCTTTCAATCTTCTTTACTTGGTATTGTTTAATATTTATCATAAATATTCATATGCATGTTTTTACTGGATTTATAACTAGACTTTGTTACTTCTAAGTAACTATAAGTATTAATGTATTTTTATTTTACTGTCAATCAGTGCTCATTGCTCATATATAGAAATAAAATTGGCTTCTCTATGTTTATCTTGTATCTTTTCAGCTACTTCTCTAGAACAATATTAGCCTTTGTGTCATGATGACAATAGATTAAACCTCTGAAATGTAAGCCAGTCCCAATTAAATGTTTTCCGTCATAAGAGTTTCCATGGTCAAGCTGTCTCTTCGCAGCGATAGAACAGTAATCACATATGCAAACATGGGCTAAAGACAGAATTAGTGTGCAGTTCACATAAAGAAGGCATTTTCTGCCATAACATGGGTCAAACGGAAGGGTATCACCAAGGAATGAAGTGCAGATGGAGAGCAAGACCTGGGATACTCAGGCAGGAAGGGTGTTGAACAAAGAAAGGAATGACAGGTGAGAAAGAAGGACACTGTAATGTATGCCTTAGAATCCTCTTGAAGAAAAGGAAAACATCATAGGAGGCATCAAAGTGCAACACTGGAATTTTAACATTGGAGATAAGAAAAGATGTGGACAATGAATTGATCCCTGAATTTAGTGTTAAGAAATCATTATGGCTATGATGAACACTTTCAACAGTGTTAAAAATAAAAGTCTCATCATAGAGGGTTTAGAATTGAAAAGGAAAATGGGTACAGTAATTATAGACTTTTAAAATAAGAATTGTATTTCAAGTATATGAGAATTTAGAGATTAATTGAATAGAAATGCATGAAAGCAAATTTAACCTGTGACTAATCTTGTTCATTTATTTTTTTTCACCCACTTTCTGCCTGCTAGAGGCATCATTTAATTTCACTCATAAAAATGTATATTTGGGGTTAGCCAGAGGACCCAGATTCAATTCCTAGCACCTTCATGGTGATTCACAACTATTTGTAACTCCAGTCTCAGGGGATTTGATGGTCTGTCTCTTCTGGCCTCCACAGGTATCAGGCATGCACATGGTGCACAGATATACACAAAGATAAAACGCTCATACACATAAAATAAATTTTAAAAATTAATGTATCCATTTTGAGAGTGCCAAGTTTTTTTTGTTTGGTTTGGTTTGGTTTGATTTTTCAAGACAGGTTTTCTTTCTTTTTTTTTTACTAGACAGCTAGTATTTTATTAAGATAGCAGTCTCATCACATGTGGTCCAAGAACACTCAAATAAAAACTCAAATATCAGATGTTAAAGATCAGTCTTCAAACATCATAGCCAACGATGCCACGTTTGCCTATGATCTCTCCGATATAAAGCCACATCCACACCTACACCTACCTCAGTGGCGACTACACCATTTAAACAGCTTCTTTAACTGTAAGCTGTTTGAAGCTACCAGTTTTAGCACTTTGAATTATTTTTTTCACACTCTGAATAGCTGCAGGGATTTCAGCAGGGGTTGGGGGAAGCAGTTCAACCTTGGTGTAGTACCAAAATGTGGCCAATCGAGGCTTCGAGTAAGTCACAGCAGCGCTTACTAGCGCCGGGGCCTTCTCCGCGAAGTTACGACAAACTTGGCCATGGTCTAGGGTGGAAGGTCTCAAGACAGGGTTTCTCTGTGTAGCTTTGGAGCCTATCCTGGCACTCGCTCTGGAGAACGGGCTGGCCTCGAACTCACAGAGATCCGCCTGCCTCTGCCTCCTGAGTGCTGGGATTAAAGGCGTGCGCCACCAACGCCCGGCGGTTTTTGTTGTTGTTGTTGTTTTCCTGTAAAAGGAGTAAAGAAGCAGATGGCAATTTGCAGGTAAAGGAAGGGTCAAGGTAGGGTTGTATAAGTTCACTCACTTGTGTGATTTCAAGTGTAAACTGGAGAGAGGGTTGCATTTAATTGGGATGTGGATTTTGACAAATATAAAAGTATAAACATTTTATTAAGTGTAATGGTTCACACCCTTCATCCCAGCACTTGAAGCAGAGGTAGGCAGAGTTTTGTGAGTTTGAGGCCAGCCTGGTCTACACATTGGACACCAGAACAGAGCTACATAGTGAGACCCTGTCTTGAAAGACTGTGTAAGATGAGGAGTGGTGAGACTGATTAGGTGGAAGATAGTGAAAATGTGATATAGTCACAGATTACACACCGCGGTAAAAAGGACATTAGCCAGCATAGGAGGTCAGAAGTTAAGATGAATGAGATAGCGATTATGACACTTGTAGTTGTGTGTCATGGTGATCTAGGGTGAGAGAATACAAGTGACATAGAGTAGGGGACAAGGTACTCAGCAGATAGACCTTTGAGGCAGAAAAAAGCAAGGAATGCCATCTACTGACACACCGAGGATGAGACGGGAAGAGATTCACAGAGAGACTGAGTTCAAGAGCTAAAGTGAGTCACATGACTTACAGAATGGAGTGGTTGTTTGTGTCTGTAACCCTAATATTGTTGTGGGTTGAGATGTGTGCTACGGGTATTTGCTGACTCCCAGCCTAGATCCCACAACCGATGAGAGATCCTGACTCTAGAGATAAAGTGATGAATAATAAACAGGGCGCTTGGTAGTCTCCTGTTGTCTGCACATAGATGCCTGCACTTGTGCAGACTTCTGCATGGACCACACATGTATATCACATATACACATACACACAAAATTTCAAAAATTTATTTATTCCAATTCTGTAGATGAATCTTCCGTCGATCTGCTTTGGTGTGTAGAACTTTTGGGTGTAGTTCCAGTTGTCAACTCTTGTTTGTTTTCTCTACTTTTGAAGTCTTTCTTATCCAGGAAATCTGTCTGTGCCAACATCCTGAAGTGTTTCTTTTATGTCTTATTCTATTAGCTTAAAACTAGGTTTAAACCTTAAAGTCTCCTGGTCACTTTTTAATAAAGTGAGATAAAGATCTAGTTTCAATCTCCTAATCCAGTTTTCCCATCATCAGTTATTGAAGAAGCTGTCCTTATCCACTGTATATTTTAACATCTCTTATTAAGAATCAGTTGGCTGAAGAGATATTGACATGAATTTACTTGTGTTCCTAGGTTCATATCTGCTTTTATGCCAATAGCAGTTCCTTTGGCTACAATGCCCTGGAAGTGGTTTTGATTGGATTCCCTTGGCTACTTAAAGTCTTTTGTGCTCTCATATGATTTGGAGGAGTTTTTCCTAGTTCCACAAAGTTATGCTAGTCATCCATTGTTATATTGGCACCTAAATCACTTTTCATGTCTCATAGTATTTTGCTTTATTTTAATAAGGTTGGGTACTGCTCCAATATTTAGGGCATATGAATTTATTATATTTAATTCTTATTTTCTTTGAGTATTTTTGGATATATTTTGTTCATTTCTTCTTTTTTGTATGTGCATCTGTTCATTCTGATATTATTCACAGTGCCAAGGTTATGGTCAGCACAGATATCAGTCAACAGATAATGAAAAATACGTGTTATTGATCAGGGTTCTCTAAAGCAACAGAGCACATGGAATGAATATACATATAATAAAAAGGGATTTATTACAATTACTTTAGGCTGTGGCCCAGCTAATCCAACAATGGCTGCCTATAAATGGAAGTTCCAAGAATCTGGTAATTGTTCAGTTCAAGAGGCTGGATATTTCAGCTGGAATCCCGAAGAAGAAGTAGGCTATAATGTCAGTGAAAGAACAGACTTGCTGACAAGACAAGAGCAAGTCAGCAAAGAGCAAAAGTTTCCATCTTTCATGTCCTTATAGAGGTCCAGCAGAAGGTGGGTCCAGATTATAGGTGGGTCATTCCACCTCAAATAGTCTAGATTAAAGGTGCGTCTTCCCATTCAAAAATCTAGATTAGAAGTGGATCTTCCCAATTCAAATTATCTTCATATATATATATATATATATATATATATATATATATATATAAAGCAATTTTATTTTACATATCAATCTCAGTTCCACCTCCCTCCTATCCTCCCATATCAATCCCAGTTCCCCCTCCCTCCCATCCTCCCATGCCCCCTACCAACCCCCCAGTCCCACCCCTCATCCACTCCCCAGGGAGGGTGAGGCCTCCCATGGGAGATCATCAAGGCCTGGTTATCACTTGGGGCAGGGCCTAGGCCCTCGACTGTGTATCCAGGCTGAGAGCGTATTCTCTCCATGGGGAATGGGCTCCCAAAGTCCATTCCTGCACTAGGGATAAATACTGGTCCCACTACCAGAGGCCCCATAGACTGCCCATGCTTCCTAACTGACACCCACATTCAGGGGTCTTGGTTTGGTCCTATGCTGGTCCCCCAGCTGTCACACTGGAGTCCTCTAAGAGTAGACATAATAAAGTAGATAGAGAAAGCCCCCAAGACCTCAGCCCTACACAAAGAATTGCGGTAACTAAGGAATGCCGAGAAAAGGAGAAATAATCTTCCCCAGGGAAGAGTAAACTAACTGGTTATCAATGTCAGTAACAAATGTTCAGCCCTGAAAACATACATACACTAACATTATACAGACTGAACAGGTTGCACTTAGTATTTAAGTGTGTGTGTGCTTGTGTAAAACAACAGTTAATGAATAAAGAGGCCATGAATTTGAAAGAAAGCAAAGAAAGGTTGAATGAGAAGTTTGGATGAAAGGAAAAAAAAAGAAATGATGTAATTACAATGCCTCAAAATGAAATAAATATTTTTTAAAAAGAGGTGCCTTTGGGCTGGAGCGATGGCTCAGCAGTTGGGAGCCTGGCTGCCCTTCCGGAGGAGCCAGGTTCAATTCATAGAAATCACATGGTGGCTCATAGCCATCCGTCACTCCAGTTCAAGGGGATCTGATGCCTTGTCTGAACTCCTCAAGCGTCAAGAAAGCATGTGGTACACTTTCACACATGAAGACGGAACACTCACATAAACGAAAACATCTAATACAGAATTTTAAAAAGAGAGATAATAAAGTTGAATTATAGAAAACAATATTTAAAAAGAAAGGAGGTAATGTTAAAGACTGGAAAGGGGGCCAAGGGGAAGCAGGGAGAGGACAGAAGGGTGGGAAGACACAGTCGATGCATTTTTTATCCATGTATAAGGATGTCGTCGTGAATTCCATTGTATAGTTGTGTCAATCATAATAAAGTAAAATGCAGCAAATAAGGCAATTTCAAAAATTCAGTTTATTTTCAAAAAGAAAAATGTACATGAAAATAATAGCTATCAGCAGTGAAAAGTGAAGGGGTCTCTAGAAGAAGGTCGTTCTTGACACTATTTTTAAACATCATAATGGAAATTTTAGGAAATCCAAGAAGATAAGGGAAAGAAATAGAATGTATAGTGATTGGTAAGGGGGAAAAACATATTTGTTCACAGACAGCACGATTGTCTAACGTGGAAAGCCCGAAAAGATAAACCAAGAAATGGAAGTTAAATGGCATAGTAAAGCTGTGGGAGGCAGAACTGATGTGTGAAAGCCAAGGTTTCCTGTGTACTGCCATTCAACAATGGAAATATGAATACAAACATGCTAACATTTACACTAGCACCCTATAAGTGAAGCAAACAAATATGTAATAAAATATAACATAATTCATAAAATGTAAGGGAAGAGGGCATCAGTAAGATGGCTCAGTAGATAAAAGTACCTGTCACACAAGCCTAACAAGCTAGTCTGATCTTGTGAACACAGATTTGTTTTAAAAGCTGGATGTAGTACTGCACATGTGTAATCCCACATGTAATTCCTACAAAAAAAAAAAAAGTGGAGGCAGAAACAGGAAAATCTCTTGAAAGCTCAAGGGACAGATAGCCTACAGTACACCGCATAGCAGAAATGACAAGAGAGTCCTGTCCTCAACATGGTACAGGGAGAGAACATGTCCTCCACATATGCACTATGAAATGTGCATGCCTGCACTCACCTCTCTCTCTCTCTCTTTCTCTCTCTCTCTGTCTCTCTCTGTCTCTCTCTGTCTCTCTCTCTCTGTCTCTCTTTCTGTCTCTCTCTGTCTCTCTTTCTGTCTCTCTCTGTCTCTCTCTCTCTCCTTCTGTCTCTCTGTCTCTGTCTCTCTCTCTCTCTCTCACACACACACACACACATGCAGAGAGAGAAAACCTTTACAAATATTAAAGCAGTATAAACTGAGAATATTCCATGTTTATTTCATACTTAAGAAGACTTAATATGGTCAAAACATCAATTTTCTCAACTTGATTATAGATACAATAAAATAGCAAGTGAAATATTTTGTTATATTTACAAGTAACTCTCAAAGTTTTTATATCAAGAGGTAAAAGACCCATAATAGCCAATTGTAGTACAGTCATTTCCTCTGAATTGAAGTATTCCCTTCAGGAGGGAGGAAGAAGGCGCAGGAGACTAAGTAAATAAACCCTGAAAGTCCAGGAAAGCTGAAGCTTACAGCATCCATGAGGCCTCACCCCAAGGTTATAAAAGATGTCAATGTCAACAATTGTTGGGGGAGGAGGTCATGGACTGGCTGAGCTGCCTACAGGATACTCTCCACCTGTTGAGCTGCCTGCAAATTACAAGAAACTTCAGGGTGATGGCTTTCTTGAGTCATCACCAGTGCTGAGATGGGCTTTTCTGGTGCTTCAGCTGCCTTTGAGTCATTCATCCCCTCTCCTGCTTGCAGTCATTTGCAGTCCCTTCAACTGCGAGAGAACAAGCAAGATCTGTGCTCAAAAATGCCTTTCCTCAATATGAAGACATAGAACCTGTGAAGAGCCATACACGGAGAAGAAAGAGAGCAAGAGAGAAGTGATCCAATATACTCCTCGGGTACAACCTTTAATTCAGAAGATAAAACCCATGATCACCATTCCAGACGGGGCCTTAAAGAATAGCTCTACATGCCGGGCATTGGTGGCGCATGCCTTTAATCCCAGCACTCGGGAGAAAGAGGCAGGCAGATCTCTGTGAGTTCGAGGCCAGCCTGGTCTCCAGAGCGAATGCCAGGATAGGCTCCAAAGCTACACAGAGAAACCCTGTCTCGAAAAACCAAAAGAATAGCTCTACACAAGAAACCACAGAACTTGGAGAGTGTTCAGTACTTGAACTGTTTGAATTGGGAAAAACTTAAAGAACAATGAAAGAGCCTGTACTGCAGAAGTGGAGAAACAATAAATAGCCTTCCATGCCTCCTAAAACACAGACTGCATAACCTGTGGCAGTCTGAAGGAAATCAGTCCCACTGGACTAGTTCTGCTATCAAACCTGACATCTCTCCACCTGTGAAGATCAGCTTCTAGAAAACAGCAGAGAAAGAGCAGGCCTACAGAAGGAGTTAAGTATGAGATTGGCAAAGCTTTGTGCACACTTCACTGGGAAAGAAACAGATTCATCGGGGATTGTATTCATATAGAATTGTTGTGAGGCTTATGTGGCATTGTCGGATCTAGTGAGTGACAAGATCTTTATGAGTTATGGGAGGCTTTGACAGACCTGAATTACCAAATGCACATATAAATCTGATTCATAAAGTATTAAAGTACAGCAGAGGGGTAGAGAGAAAAAGAAAGCAGACAATGGGTTACTCAGAAACAAATTTGTGCTGACCTGGAGTATCCAGGGAAAGAATTGACGAAAAGACCAAGTCTGTGTCCGTGAGCATCTGGAAATCTTTACAGCCAGACCAGCTGTAAAGGGGTAAAGGGAGCAGAAGAGGGGAGCAATGGGGTAAAGGAAGGAGGTGAGGGTATACAAGAGATCCCCACAGCAGCTACTGCTACAGAAAAAGAATATCTTCTGGGGAATGGGAACCAGCTCAGCTGCTCCTCTGGTAGAGTGGCCAAGGTTGCCTACAAATGAAGACCATATATACATAATGACCAGAGATCCAATGTTAAGTTTATGAGTCCCCTACTAATGTTCAAAATACTTAAGCTTTGGTGGATACTGAAGCCATGGGTACCTTGATTCGTGGTGACTCCCTAAAGCACTGGAGAATATGGGTATCAAATGATGAAGTAGGGATAGAACAGTACGTGTAAAAAATATGGTTTGTCTGGTGGGCAATTCTCTTCCCTACCTCCAATAATATATGGCGTGCATCTCTCTAATGCAAGAAAATATTCTGGGAGTGGAAGCATTGTTGAGGCACACCCTGCATACCGCTGTTGGCGAGTCTTGCCTGAGGACACAAACGGTGAAGGCAGGCAGTCATACTTAGTTGGGCAAGATGGGAACCTGTAGGGCTGCCTATCCTTATTAGGGTAGTGAATATGACATAGTATGGACTGCCTAGGGGGTTGTAATGAAACTACAGAAACTATCAAGGAGACAGAAAGTCTCCTTTGCCCAGCCCAAAGTCCTTTCAACAGCCTAGAAAACCACATCACAGGTGTTCATTACACAACTGGAAATCAGTTCCACTGGGGAGTCTCTCCCAGCACTGATGCTATTGACTGTTTGTATGACTTTAGGGGGCACTCATCAGTCTTAAAAATGTGGTAAACTTTCTGGATCTTTGGGTCCCTTCTGCCCCCAAAGAGAGAATGTTTTGATTTAGAGGGACTAACTACACAAGTATGCTGGAACAAACAAACCAGATAGTGAGATCCAAATGTTAAATTTAAGAAGTGTTTCAACCCAGTAGTTAAACACATACATTAGTTTAAAAATTTTTGTTTTGTTTTTGTTTATCTAGACAGGGTTTCTCTGTGTAGCCATGGCTGTTCTGGAATTTGCTTTGTAAACCAGGCTGGTCTTGAACTCAGAGATCTGCCTGCCTCTGCCTGCCAAGTGCTGAGATTAAAGAACCTACACAACCAGGCCCAGCTAAAATTTAAATCATACAAAATTTAATCAAATCAGTAGAAACAAATGTAGCAAATACTAGACACATTACTTCCAAATAATTATGCTATTATATACCCTTTTGATCTTTTGTCTATTTTATCTGTAAGGCAGAAATGATGTTGCTTTACAACTATATTTGATGATGTCATTCAACTAGTAGGCTAAAATAAGCCATGGCTGTAGTGTATATGTCATGGGATTAAAAGAACACAAATTAGTAGATGCTGGGTGGGATACAGCTCAGTGGTACAGTGACTGCCTACCATGTTTGAGGGTCTGCCTTTGAATCCCAGCAACTCACACACAGACAACGCACATTTCCCTCCCCATTCCATATGAGTATCAAGAGAACTTCTGTTGAAAACAGAACCTTTCACTATGGGCTTCAACAAACTCAACATGTTACCAGGGTTTCTTCATCCACTCAAGTATGAAGATGTTGAAAACAGGAAGAGGTAAGTCAATTAGATATATTCATTGGGATCTGTTATGGGCTATACCGCATTCCCCTACAATTCTTATGTTAAAAGTTAGATTCCCCTATGTAACTATATTTGGTATAGGCTGTCCAAAGACATCACTATGGCTAAATGAGAAAAAGTAAAATTATGGGTTCTTGGTCTGAAAGGTGGCTCAGCAGTTAGGCACTGGGCTCCTGATACTCACATCAGGTGGCTCACAACTGTCTATAAACTCCAGTTCCAGGGGGTACAGTGCCTCACATGCAGGTACTCACATGTAGACACACTCACAAGCACCTACACATAATTAAAATATTTTAACTTTCTTTTTATTTATTCTTTCTGTTTTTCACATCATGTGTCTCAAATCCCATTCATTTTCTGTCCCTTTGTATCTGTCCTCTGCCCATGCAACCTCCCTTACCCCAATAAAATAAAATTTAAGAGGAAAAAAAGAAAAAAGAAAAGGAAAATCTCATCATGGAAACTGTGGTATGACACAGAAAGTCATTCAGTAGACTCTTTTATCCATATATCTGTACTTGAATGTATTCGTTGCAAAGAATCATTGGTCTGGTTCAAGGACTCTGGTTTTGGCTACACTATCGATGCTGAGCCCTAATTGGAACTCCTCTTGGATTTCCTGTTGTCGCCCTCTGTTGTGGAGACCCTGTAGCTTTGGGTCCATAGGACCACCTCCTTCACATGCTCCAGCAGGTCATAGATGGGGTGGACCAACTCATAGCCCTGGTTCTGGGCCTGGGTTAGCCAGACGGCCAGCTCTCTCCTGTCTTCACCATCAGGGTGAGTTCTCCAGCATTGTTGCCACCAGTTCACCCCTGGGGCCAGTTCTCTTGCTTCTACATCCTTATGGTTGGGTCGGCGCTCCCACACCTACTTCTTCAGGACCAGCTCTACTGCGTTGCCCATGTGAGGTATAGGAGCCGCTCTCCCAAGTGCTGCAGCTGGTGAGGGATAGGGACACCTCTCCTACCTACTACAGGCAGCAATGGAGGGTATTCCCCCTACACCACCATGTGGGAGATGAGTTGTGGGGGCAGATCTTCCATGTTTACATTCTCTGGGCAGTTCACTTGCATCCCCCTCCCCCATCGATAGGGTCAGCTCCCCTGCTCTGACAGGCAAGGTGAGGGGACCACTTTCCAAAGTGCTACAGCTGAGAAGGGGGAGGAGGATCAGCTTTCTCACCCACCACAGATGACAGGGGCTGGAGCAGGGGACATCTTTCCCTAACCCTAAAATATTTTTAAGAACATTTTTAACTAAGGGTTCAGAACCTAATCGAGTCATATTGATGTCCTTTAATGACAAGAAGTTACAACAAGGGTGTTAGAGAGAGGGCCGTCTGAAAGCAAAGTGAAAAGATAGCCATCTGGAAGCCAAGGAGAGAAGCCACAGAAGAATGATACCTATGACAGCCTTGATCTTCCAGCCTCCAGGACTATGATGAAGTAAACACTGCCTCTGTAGGAACTTGTTTGGGCAACCCTAGGAATCCAATGCAGAATTTTTGGTTGTGAGTAATAGAAATCAATTCTAGAGAGAGCACAGCTTTAGGAGGACAAGAATGTGCATAAATTAACAACTGAGAAGTGGAGGACCATGGGAAATCTGACTTGTCCTCTTTCTCTGATTTCCTTTCTGCTATATCCTATCCGTTCTTCACATTTTGACTGTATAGTCACACTGTACCGGGGACTGTGTTAACTTAATTTAAATATAAACTCAGTTACTTGGTCACCTAAAAGCCTTTCATCTGCATACTCTTCCTGGGACGGCTTAAAGAAACCTCTATTCATTTCAGAGAGGATGCCAAGAGGCCAAAGAAAGAATTCAATCCAAGTCAAACTTCATGGACCAATGAGTTAATTGATGTTACTTACATATGTGTGGAAGTTTAGAAGGCTGCTGTGTCACTGAGAAGTTCCCTGAACAACTGTGGGAAGCTAACACACAAGCAGGGACTATTCAGTACTTCCATAACATCATGGAAGGGCCTGGGTCTTCTGAGCCTCCCTCTCCCCAGGCTCTCTTGGCTGGGATCAGACCTGTTGTGATTCAAGGTGACAATGGTTATATCCAACCCAAACAAAAATAGAACAAAACACTTTCTAATGTCAAATAGCCCCATATGACTTGGGGCACAGTATTTTACAGATACAAAGCGTGTTTCCATCGTCACAGACAGCTGTGAACTAGATGACACTACCAGAGATTCATTAAGGCCCCTGAATTCCTCACATTTATGGCTTCTTTGTTAAAGATCACATATGTTTTTCTTTTTTTCCCACAGGCTCCATTTTTTTTTGTTTCTTTCTCTGCTTTTAATTGGAAA